TTAAGGTGTTAGTTACCACCTTTAAAGCGCTCCATGGCATCGGACCTGGATATCTCCGAGACCGCCTTCTGCCACAGATTTCCTCTCACAGACCAGTACGCTCCCACAGAGCGGGCCTCCTCAGGGTGCCGTCGGCCAAGCAGTGTCGGCTGGCGACCCCCAGGGGGAGGGCCTTCTCTGTGGGTGCCCCCACCCTCTGAAACGAACTACCCCCCGAGATCCGGACGATTCCGGATCTCCTATCTTTTCGCCGCGCCCTCAAGACATGGCTTTTTCAGCAAGCGGGTCTGGCCTAGGGAGAATTTTAAATAGGGACAATTTTTAATCAGAATTTTAATTAACACAGCGTTAAATATTTGTTTTTAATTGGCTTTTATTGGGGACAATGTTTGTGTTGTTTTAATATGCTGTGAGCGGCCCTGAGTCCTGTAGGGAGAAGGGCGGCATACAAGTTTAATTAATAATAATAATAATAATAATAATAATAATAATAATAATAATAATAATAATAATAATAATAATTCATATCCTTTCTCTGTTGCCTTTTTTCTAAACAAAAGACTCCTAAAAATTGTAGCCTTTTCTCACAGGGAAGGTTTTCTGAGCAGTTGGTTACTCTCTTATACACTTTTTTCTTCTATTTTTTTCTTTTCCGAAATGGTGACCAATACACAGTATTCCAGATGCATCATACCATACATTTGCATTTTTTTATCTTTTGTTTTTTAAAATACAAGCAAAATACCAAGATAACTATAATAAGTTTAAACTGAACAATCTAAACAAATAAAAATGATAAAAAAGAAAGAGAAAAAAGGAGGGGAAAGAAAATGAACATATTCTATTTTATATATTACAGTTAGTCACTGGTTTTCAAATATACCATATGGTGTTACAATCAGTTACAAAATATTTTTGCAATAACATCTATGCCAGAAAACACATTGCTTCATTGATTGTTTAGAATAACAAATACTGCCTTTTCAAAAAATAGATATGATGCAAACCCTTGATATCTGGAACATTATCACTTTTTCAATTTCTCAATATTATTCTTTTAATCACCTTATCATGCATGGTCATCGAATTCCACACAGTCAACAATTCACTGGACCACACCATACGGTCAATTGCTCAGTTAAGATATAGATTCTGTGCAGCAACTTTGAAAAAGTCAAATCCCTTTTATAAAGATCCCTAGCATAGAATTGCTTTTTTAAAGTTGTTGCACAGTAAACATCTTAACTGAGCAATTAAGGAGAGTTCTTTTTCTGAGTATTACAGACATCTACACTTAAATTGAATCAGACTTGTTCTTTGCATTCTTCATATTTCTAAACCTGGAAAGAGCACTTTGACATTTGATCTATTGTCCATTGCCAGATCTGTCTTTAAGGCTAATTGTTCAAAATATCTGAAACTCCCATTTTAGGAAAGCCAAAATGAATCTGTTTAGATTTGGACAAGGGTAGGTTGAAAGGCTTTGGTTCTGACTCTGAGTTGGCCTTTTTATAAAGCTATCTTCTGTGACCCTGAGAACTACAGTCAATTCATGTTCCATCTGTGTATATAAGGGCTTTGGGGTCCCAAAGTGCATCATTTCATACATGTCTATGAAGACTCTCAATCATCCAGGTCATCCACTTATCCCAAAGTGCTTTTTCCAGAAACACAACTGGATTTTCTTGGCTTTTTCTTTGAAAATGTTTTGCTTCTCATCAGAAAATCTTCTTCAGTTTCTGCTCCTCCTTCAGAAGTGAAGAAGTTTTTTGGATGAGAAGCAAAATGTTTTCAAAGAAAAAAAAAACAAGAAAGTTCAGTTGCCTTTTGGAAAAAGCACCATTGGTCATCATTTCATACACATAAATTGATCTGCATTTATCACTTGATTGATCAGTCACCTATTTAAAGAGCTCATTCTGGATATCTTCACAATCACTCTTGGTACTGTGAACAGTTTGGTTTATGTGCTAATGAGGCCAGATTAATAGCACTGATTAATGCATTTAAAGCTTCTGTTCCCAAACAGATTCTTAAGGGATTCTATGTTTTAGTTCCCTCCACGCAGAAAACTGTCCATTTATTCCTAATTTTTGTTTTCTATTTTCTAAATAGTTAGCAATCCATAAACTGATAGTTTCTCCTATCCCATGACTAAGTTTACTAAACAGTCTTTAATAAGGGACTTTTTCTGAGACTTCAGCTAGATAATATTAGCATATGTGCTGCAGAACTGATGGGCTATTATATTTAACAAATAGATCTCTATTTGTCTGTACAACCTTTTGAACAAAAAAACAAAATAGAACCATGTTTGATGTAAGTGAGAATCCAGCAAAAGAAAGGTTGAATAGGAAAATAGGTTAGCTCAGGTTGAAAGGAAAAAAAGTTCAAAGAAAATTTATCCAGTGCTTTCCTGTGGGAAAAGCATTCAGGCAGCAACTTGGAATAGCAGTAGCATTGAGATTTATGTACAGCTTCATGGTGCTTTACAGCACTCTCTGAGTGGTTTACAAATGTCAGCATATTGCCCCCCAACAATCTGGGTCCTCATTTTACTAATCTCAGAAGGATAGAAGGCTGAAACAGTCTTGAGCCAGTCAGGATCAAACTCCTGGCAGTTCTAATCACTGCGCCACCATGACTCTTGTGCTGACTGCTCTATTCCAAGCTATTTTACTCACATGGCCCAGAGTGGAACTATTATTCAGAAGTTGGGAAGAATTTGGTGTATATAAAATTTTGCAAATGTAGTTAAATGTTATCTAATTATATAGTAGCTATGGTGGCGCAGTAGTTAGAACGCAGTATTGCAGGCTAATTCAACTCACTGCCAGAAGTTCAATCCTAACCAATTCAAGGTTGACTGAGCCTTCCATCTTTCTGAGGTCAGTAAAATGAGGACCCAGATTGTTGGGGGCAATAGGCTGACTCTGTAAACTGCTTAGAGAGAGCTGTAAAGCACTATGAATCAGTACGTAAGCCTAACTGCTATTGCTATCTATTTCTAAGGGAATATTCCAATGTTCAGAAAACCTCCACTGAGTAAAACTATTGTGCAGGTGTAGCATACATTATGTAGCATTCCTACTGTTCTCTTTATAAGGAATGTGTACAGTACATCATGGACAATCTGCCACAGTTGGGCTCTTGCCTCAGGAAAACATGTTGCATTTACTCATATGGGGAAGGCTTTCATTTCAGTGTATCATAAACAGCAGCTAAGTCACCAAAATGAAGCAGAATGACTTGTTCCCTCTCCTAAGCATGGCATTGCAAAGCATTGTAAAAGGGACTGCTTTTATTCCACAGAATCCACAAATATCTGGTTTCATTAGGTATCTGATAAAACAGGACACCCCTTTGAAATTCTGCACAGTCTCATGCTTTCCAATGCATAATGCATAAAGTAGGAGAAGTCTGGTAATCATTTTATTGGCTAAATACAGATTTCAAAAATAAAAACTGAACATATATGGTTAACAGTTTTGAGAAGGCAATCACATACACTTAGGATCAAAAATAAAATAGCTAAGATTTTGCTGCAATTTACCCAGTTGCCATTTGCTTGAGCACATTGTCTCCATCATCCAAATGGGTAAAGCTGGTTCCAGCATAGCAATTGCCATATTTGCAAAACATATTGCTCCTTGAAAAGAGATGAAAAATAGATTTCTAGAATTATTTCACTTAAATTCTAATCAATAGCTGGAAAGAGCTACGCTGACATGAAAAAATGCAGTTTGAAGAGTTGCTTGTCAAATGTACAACAATGATTATATTTAAATTGCTAGGATGGGGAAAACATTTAATCCTGTAATTTCATAAAAGTTCCACTTCTTCAAAAATGAGACAATAAGCAGCACACTATGTCAAAGACATGGAGTAAAATGTGTTATGACGTTTAGAAAATATTTTAAATCTAGCAGAGGCAATGCACAACTTTTAATACAAATAGTTTTGCTATTACTGACGCAATGATAACATGCACATTTTGTTTTAATAAAATATTTATATCTATGTAATACTTTCAATTTTCAGATGGAAATTTTATTTGATACAATACTTGAGAATGAGCACAAGAAGGAAACCAAGGAAATAAAGTCTTGTTGATTACTTACCCCAAAATAAAACAGTGGCCACATTCCCTACAAGTAGATTCAAATATAGCAAGTGTGCTGCTATTTCTGATAGACTTTCTCTTACAGCACATTATGGAGTAATACAGTTTTTACATGAAAATCTTCAGATTCTGTAACTTGGTCTTATACCACTCATGGGCTGAGTTTTAAAACAGTTTATAGCATTTTGATAATAATAAAAACTTAACTGAAAACTCAGGTTGTGATGACTTTTAAACCTTTACACTTCATCTAGTATTTCATAGCTTTTGCCCAAGAAAAAGCTCTCTTATCATACAGTTCAGCAATAAAATAACCACTGCTGTCATTCTTTGTTCAGATATGCCAAATTGTATTAGGCTGTCTATTTAGTATATCTTAAACCTTGATGTGCTCTCACCCATATGCCTAAGGGCAAGGAACAAGAATCCAATTTGTTTCTTGCAAAAATGATGATGTTGTACCTAAAATATCATAACTTAAAAAAAAAACTTTGCTTTTTTTTAAGTTCTGATGTCTTCTTGCAAAAAAAAAACAACAGCCCTGTGAGACTGCAAAATTTTCTCAAGATTGTACAATATTGTAATATTTTTTATTTTTATAAATCTGCTTAAAACAATGTTAATGTAAAATGATGTGGATGACACGTACTCTGGCACCGTGTTATATCATAAGGCAGGGGTCTTCAAACTTGGCCCTTTTATGTCTTGTGGACTTCAACTCCCAATCAACTTTGAATCAAAATGCTTCGCACATAATCAAATTAGAAAGCTACTAAAAAGGGAACAAAATACCAGGAAGAGAGAATTGGGGCACTGCCGTTTTTCCCTCATGCTTCAATGATTTACAACTTGGCATTACAATTTGGCATTCATATTTTTACACCTAATTATTATTTAAAATAACTCTTAGAGTAATTATTACCATGCAATATAATTCCTCTCCCAGAGATTACCACTCAAAAGAATAGAATAGAATAGAGCTGGAAGGGACCTTGGAGGTCTTCTAGTCTAGCCCCCTGCTTAAGCAGGAAAACCTATACCATCTCAGACAAGTGACTGTCTAGCCTCTTTTTAAAAATCTCCAGTGATGGAGTGCCCACGATTTCTGAGGGCAAGCTATTCCACTGGTTAATTGTCCTCACTGTCAGGAAGTTTCTCCTTAGTTCCAGGTTGCTTCTCTCTTTGATCAATTTCCACCCATTGTTTCTTGTCCTTCCCGCTGGTGCTTTGGTGAATAATGTGATCCTCTCTTCTTTGTGGCAGCCCCTCAAAAACTGGAATACTGCTATCATGTCTCCCCTATTTCTTCTTTTCTTTAGACTAGCCAAACCCAAGTCCTGCAGCCGTTTTTTGTATGTTTTAGTTTCCAGGTCTTTGATCCTCTTAGTTGCTCTTCTCTGATTTTTTTCCAAACTCTCAACATCTTTTTTGTGATATGGTGACCAAAATTGGTTGCAGTATTCCAGGTGTGGTCTTACTAGAGTTTTATAAAGTGGTACTAATGCCTTGTGTGATCTTGATTCTATGCCTCTGTTTATACAATCCAGGATCGTATTAGCTTTTTTGACTGCTGCTGCACACTGCTGGCTCATGGTTAAGTGATCGTCCACTAGGACTCCAAGGTCCCTCTCACAGTTACTGTTTTTAAGCTAGGTCTTGCCCATTCTGTACTTGTATCTTTGATTTTTTTTGTACCTAAATGTAAAACTTTGCTTTTCTCTACATTGAAACTCATTTTGTTGGATAGGGCCCATTGTTTAAGTTTGTCAAGATCTTTTTTGATCCTGAGTTTGTCTTTTGGGGTGTTGCCAGTTTGGTGTCATCTGCAAATTTGATGAGTTCACCATCAATTCCCTCATCTAAGTCATTGATGAAGATATTGAAGAGTACTGAGCCTAGGACGGAACCTTGTGGTATCCCACTGCTTGCTTCTCTCCATGTGGATGTAGTGCCATTGAGGACTACTCTTTGAGTACAGTTTGCCAGCCAGCTACAGATCTATCTGGTGATGATATTGTCTATTCCACCTTTTTCTAGCTTACCAAGGAGTAGATTGTGGTCTATTTATCAAATGCCTTACTGAGATCTAAGTATACTACATCCACAGCATTTCTCTGGTCTACTAGTTTAGTCACTTTATCAAAGAATGAAATAAGATTGGTTTGGCATGATTTGCTTTTAACAAACCCATGCTGGCTACTAGTTATAACTTTGCTTCTAGTTGTTTGCAGATCTGTTTTTTGATTATCTTTTCTAGGATCTTCCCAGGTATTGATGTTAAACTGATTGGGCTGTAGTTTCCTGGGTCTGTTTTTTCCCCCCTTTCTTGAAGATGGGAACCACATCAGCCCTTTTCCAATCCTCAGGTACTTTCCCTGTGCTCCAGGATTTTTGAAAGATATGGTGCAATGGTTCTGACATAACATCTGCCAGCTCCTTCAGAACTCTGGGATGTAATCTGTCAGGCCCTGGTGATTTATGTTCGTTGAGGTCGGATAGGTGTTCTCTTGCCATTTTCTTGCTTATTTTAATTTTTGTTTCTAATTTGTCTTTTGCAGTGTTTTTTTTTTATTTATTGGGCTATGGTTTCTTTTTGTGTGAAGACTGATATAAAGTATGAGTTAAGCAGCTCTGCTTTCTCCCTGTTGCCTGTTATTTCCTTGCCATCATCTCTCCTTAGTGGACCTACAGTTTCCTTGACTTTTTTCTTGTTGTTAATATGTTGGAAGAAACTTTTTTTATTATCCATGATTTTTGTTGCAAGTCTTTGTTCATTCTGAGCCTTTGCTTTCCTGACTTCATCTTTACATGTTCTGGCTGTCTGCTGATAATCGGCCTTAGTTATGTGCCCCTCTTTCCATTTTTTGTATTTGTCTTTTTTCAGTTTGTCAGAGAGATCTTTGAGCAGCCATGCTGGTTTCTTCTTGAATTTCTTATTTTTCTTTTTCAGTCATATTGTGCTGGTCTGGGCTTTTATGATCGCATTTTTCAGAGTTTCCCACGCTTCTTGACTTGTTTTCTCCTTTAGGATTTTCATCCATGGGATCTTTTCTAGGTTCTCTCTGAGTTTGTTAAAGTCAGCTCTTTTGGAGTTCAAGACACTGGTTGGATTGTTTTCTATTGCTAGTGTTTGCATTATATTAAGTTTCAGTATGATGTGGTCACTTTCGCCCAAGGTTCCGGCAACTTCAACTCTCTTGATCACTTCTTCTTTTAGTTAGAATTAAGTCCAGAATGGCTTTACGCCGAGTTCCGTCCTCCACCTTTTGGATGACAAAGTTGTCGGCTAAGTTGGTTAGGAACCTGTTTGATCTCCAGCTCGCTGCAAAGTTTGTCTCCCAGTTGATATCTGGATAGTTGAAGTCTCCCATTACTATTGTGGCATGCTTCCTACATACATTTGTTAACTGGTTGGCAAAGAATCCATCTATTTCTTCTGATTGGTTGGGTGGCCTGTAATATACACATGGTAATGTCACTTTTTTTCTCTTTTATATTATATGCATTCTGGAGAGATTTTATCTTTGATCATGTGTGTTTCTGTAGATATGTAGTGTTGTCTTACATATAGTGCAACTCCTCCTCCTCTTTTTGTAGACCTGTTTCTTTTGAACAATTTATATACATCCATCAGTCCATTCCATTCATGGGTTTCGTCCCACCAGGTTTCTGTAATTACCAACTATGTCATACCCTCCCTCGTGTACTATTGCTTCTAGTTCACCCTGTTTGTTCCCAAGCTTTGAGCATTTGTATATAAGCATTTAAGGCTTTTATGCCTGTCCGTGGGTATGTTTCAGTTAATTGGTCCTGGACAAATAAGGTTGGACTGCTTCTTCCAGTTAATGTTCAGCAAACAGAAACTCACATACTTTAGTTGTGTAGATGAAGCTAGTATTTGTGTGACAAGGTTGAAGGAAACAAAAAGGGAAGACAGTAGAAAATATAAACAAAATCAAAGAAAATCACTGGAAAGCTCTTGGAAGAGCTGTGAATTATTACTGAGGATAGTAGACATCAGTTCATATATTCAACTAGAGGTTTAACCCACTCCAGTAGTGCATATCTAATAGAATTCCACACAAGACATATGATAAAGAATGTATATTTTAAGTTTAATACAAAGGGAAAATGAGAAAACTGTAGGTTACAATTAAAATTAATGAATATTTCTTCCAAAAGAAACATGTTCCTTTAATTTAAATGATATTTAAGTATGTCTAATTATCTCCCCCATTTTTTAATTTCCCCACTTAAATTTTCCAGCCTAGTTTTTCTAACACTACAAAGTGCTTGGGAAGAGGCCAGCTGCATGTAAATCAACACTCCGAAGCATTAATTCAAAAACTTTTCAGTAGTATTTGACAAACACAGGGAAATACAATTTCAGTTTAGTATACTTTAAAACACATAATTGTGTATTGTTATCATGGCTGTAATTGTGAGACCTTTCCTAATTATTTAGTAAGTGGTACAATGGTTTTGTATGTCCTATTGCTCAAGTGGCCTAGTAATTTAGATGCAAATTCTGTGCAACAAGGTAATGTTGTTATTCTCATTCACTCCACTTAAAATGTACACATGTACTGTACAGCTGCACAAAATCTCCAGAAAAAAAAGCTAAGGGCAAATAATTGGGACAAGTGACCAATCACTCCTTCAGATCGCCCTGAAGAAAACTGCACAACAGCAACAACAACATGAAAACAAAAAGCATAGATCAAAAAGGATAATTGTGAAGAAATAATGGGTTCTGGGGATATCAAACTGAAGAGACCTAAAGATAGTATAGATCTGGGGCAAAGGAGGGTTTAAAAATTGGAAATGCAAAAGTATATAACCAGTGCTTGCTGTTGTAAGAGAAAAAAATCAGAAGCCAGGATAATAGGAAATACAATATCACTAAACTTCTCATTGAGGACCTCTCAAGAAACATCGGAGAAAAAATAATGCTATACTGAATCTGACAACCATATAGAGAAGTTCATGAATGGTTCTATAAAGCTTTGTTGCATAAATTTTGCTACCTGGGATATGGGATTTTCTTTGTGATTCCTAATTAGCATGAATAATTCTCTTGCCACTCACCAAATGTCCTGAATTCAATTCCACCTGAGTTTACCAAAGGTAATTTTACTTTTTTTAAAAAGGGCTGGAAATAGCACTAACTCTGAAATAACCTTTCTTCAAAAGTAAAAATAGTGATTAGCTGCAACACAGAACTTATCCATGGAGGAGAAGGAGGAAGAGGGAGGAAGAGGATGAGAAGGAGGAAGAAAAGAAGGAATAGCACTGAAGGTAATAGTAGAGAGTATCTGGTTTTGAATGCTGAAATATTTTTTTTTTATTTCATTTTTCAAGTGACCTCTCAAATTCAGAAAACAGCCGTATATTTTAAAAATGCAACTATGTAAAATTCAAAAATACCTGCAGCAATAAGAATGTATGGGTCTCTCAAGAGGGTCAGTAATGATGCTCCTTTTTGACTCTGTTAAAATAATTAAAAAAGAGTTTTATAAAAAGGGTGAAATACGCATTCTTTTAAAAAGTTATTCAAAGTACTTACTTCTGGCTGTATCTTAGACGGCTGTAAAACTAGCAATTGTATTGCTGCAAACAAAACAAAAAGGAACTTTTTACTCTATAGGTTGTAATTAAATCATAACACTGTATATGAAATCATAAGTCCTAGACTTGCAACAGTTCATTTAGTGACCATTCAAAGTTACAATGGCACTGAAAGAAGTGACTTATGATCATTTTTCACACTTATGACCATTGCAACATCCCTAAGATCATGCAATCAAAATTCAGACGTTTGGCAACTGGTTCATATTTGTGACGGTCACAGGGGTCCCGGGGTCATGTGATCACATTTTGCAACCCTCTGACAAGCAAAGTCAAGGCCAGATTCATTGAACGACTGGGTTGCTAACTTAACAATTATGATGATTCCCTTAATGATGATTCACTGTGGCAAGAAAAGTCATAAAACTGGACAAAACTCACTTTAAAAATGTCTCACTTAGCGACAGAAATTTGGGGCTCAATTGTGGTTGTAAGTTGAGGACAACCTGTTTTTTGACTTACCTCCATCAAAAAGAGCCAAGGCTGCTAACACCAGGAAGGGGGCTGCCTTCCCAACAAATTCATACATTACACTTCCAAATGGTGGACCCACTATGAAAAAAACACACCAAAGTCACATTTCTTCATAAATATTTAGATTCTAGTAAGATATTTGGCCAAATATCAACAATAATGAAGGGCAATTCTATAAGTAGATAAATATTGCATCTGCCCTTTAGGTTAAAAGCTCATTTTTAATGAGGAAAGTTTTAATCTAAAATAAGGCAGAGAAAGCATGCAAGGCCATGGCACTGGGGATTCTTTCCTGCAGCTTAAAATAGCTGTACTCTGGGTCATGTGAAGACAGAATAGGGCAGGGGTAGGCAACCTTGGCTCTTTTGTGACTCGTGGACTTCAACTCCCAGAATTCCTGAGCCAGCATGGCTCAGCTTGGAAACCTCTCCCTTTCCCCTCAGCATGGCTGGCTCAGGAATTCTGGGAGTTGAAGTCCTCGAGTCATAAAAGAGCCAAGGTTGCTTGCCCCTGGAATAGGGGAAGGATGGATCAGTCAGCTGCATTCAGAGCCACTGCCCAACCTAGCTCTCATACAGCGATTCAAAGGGGAATGTTCTTGATTTTTTTACCCCCACAGCCATCAGCCCAATATGGTCCATTTTCAAACTTGATTTTCCTTCTACCCCAACACCCAATTTGGCTCATTCCATTTTATTTTTAGATAATTATCCTGCCATCGGACAGTTCTTAATCCATAATTTATTTTCAACATTCAGCTGATTGAAAGGAATAAAAAAAGATCATTCTACTGAATCATTTGGGACATGGAGTAGCTGTTCACAGAAATGCTTGCCTTATTGAGTGTGCAGTTGCCCATACTCCATACATTTTTCAATTATATATCAAATATAGCAGTATATGATAAAAATTCAAGTATGTCTAGGCAACTATTGCTTTGCTACTTGTTAAGTATCTAAAACTAGAAAATGGAAGGGAGACACAATTATATACTGTATTCAGTATATTGGCAACTCAGAGTCAGTTTGGTGTAATTATTAAGGCCCCAGGGTAGAAACTGGGAAACTGTGAGTTCTAGTCCCACCTTAGGCACAAAATTAGTTAGGCAACTTTGGGCCAGTCACTTCCTCTCTGCCTGAGAAAAAGGCAATGGCAAACCATTTCTGAAAATGTTCCAAGAAACAGGGACTTGTCCAGGCAGTCACCAGGAGTCAAAATTTTCTTCATAGTATGGGTTTATCTTCTCTTTTTGTGTATGTACAACTAAATTCTTCGACAAGCCAACAAAATAATTCTGAGTCAAATAATCTAATAGCCTATTCCTTTATTCAGATGTTAGTATTTATAAGTTCAATGGCATTGAGTATAACGTAACTGTGAAAAAATTCATAGCCTGAGGGACTAATTAAATATGCATTTAGTTGGGAGAAAGAAGGACTGGCTATAAAGTAGCACTGTTGATTGGAAAAAAAATGGCATATAAAATTTCTAAAATTGCATACAGTTCATGAACAACAGTTCATTTAGTGACCATTCAAAGTTACAATGGCACTGAAAAAAGTGAGTTATGAGCGCTTTTCGCACTTACAACCACTGTAGCATCCCCATGGTTACATGATCAAAATTCAGATGCTGGGCAAGTGGTTCATATTTATGACGGTTGCAGTGTCCCAAGGTTATGTGATCACCTTCAGTGACCTTCTGACAAGCAAAGTCAATGGGGAATCCAGATTCACTTAACATGCCAAGTTACTAATTTAATAAATGCAATGATTCACTTAACAACTGTGGCAAGAAAAGTCGTAAAATGCGGCACACTCACTTAACAAATGTTTCACTTAGCAACATAAATTTTGGGCTTGATTGTGGTCGTAACCCGAGGACTACCTGTATTCTGATCCAGGGAATGTTGCCATACTGACCTAATACCCCCAAGGCCAAGCCTCCCAAGGCAGTCCCCATTGCATTGCCTCTTTCTTCATCATCGGTATAGACACTGGCTAGCATACCCATCCCTGCATAAAAAGAAAAGCAAAATAAAAATCACTAGACTTGTCTTCGGCAGACAGGAAATTACACTAAGATATGAACAATCACCTGTGAAACATTTATCTTCACACATCCAATAAACTGTCCTTTGGAAAATCTCTTAAGATCAGGGAGGGAGGGGTGAGAAGTCTCTCCAATGTAGCCTCTTTAAGGCAATGGGGCCGTTAATAAAGGAAAGAGATGCCTTTTTTAAAAAAAACTTGCTCTTTTCTTTGCAACCCTTTACCAGAAAGTGGTATGCAGGAAAGGAAAATGGATATAATCTGGAATTCTCAAAAACGTGAAGAATTCCATCTAGAAATCTAGAATGTCTGCAACACACTCTAAATGACATAGTACGTATTAAAACTAACCCAATCTGAAAAATGATTTTAAAGTTTTTAAAAGCAGAAGAAAACATCATACTCATTCTTAAGAAATTCAGCGCTGTTTATAATGAGAGACCTCATCTAGTTGTATAAAAATAATGACAATAAAATGGTTTGCAATTTGATCATATCCTTAGTAAAGAAAAGAATAAACAGCAATAGCATCTACGCTGATGTACATGTTAGAAACCTACCAGCTACAGAAGAACAAGATGAACCCACACCTTGGAGAGCTCTTGCAATCACGAGTAATTTATAGCTTTCTGAAAAGGCAAACACTGGGGGCGGGGGGGGGGGAAGGCAGAAGAAAGCATTAAAAAAAGGATTCACTCAATCTAAATTTAAAGGTTAAAGCTTTTTATATACTCTATGATTAACACTCATTTAATCTAGTTTTCTGTAACTATCATGTGAATTTCAATGCTAACTGCATTATTTTCTTTTATTTCATTTAGAGTTATTATTGCTAAAATGTTTAGCCTCTTGGTGACACAATATAAATGTAGAAAGCTTCTTATCAAAGCAATATTTGTTCCAATATTTCACAATACCGTCCCATAGCCAAGATACAATTTAACTGGTTTAGGAGGTTTTTTTCCCTGAAAATGGACAAGCAATTTCCAAGCCTCTGTGGGGAATACGCATTGCTGTATAATAAATAGAATAATTCAATTGAAGGAACCACTCCAATGAATGAGAGACATTCAAGGGCATTCCTCTTTCCATTGGGCTATGGTTGCTTTTCATCTGGCAAGTAAGAAAAGGCAAGATTAAAGTGCCTTATTTTTCTACACACTCTCTCCCTTCTGGTTCAACGGTATGGACTGTATAAGAAAACATTTCAGCTCAAAGCATGCCTTAAACAACATGGCAAAGGGAATGGCTGTATTAACACTACATTATTATGGCACAGTTAGAATCTGTGGAAAGAAGTCTTGTCTTCATTGATGTTTTAACCAACAATTCTCTAGTGAAAGCTTCATATATTCTTAGAACCAAAGGATATCCAGATTTGACAATTCAAAACAGTGTTTTGTTCCCATCTCTCCTTCTCTTCTGTAATACTTGGGGATATAGGAGAAAAACAACACTTACTTATTGTTGAAATAAACATGATGCAGAAGCCAGCAAACATGGGGACCTGATAACCTATCCTGGAAAAGAAAATTAATACCAAATTTTGACTTTTTACATATGTTTTTCTATATCTACAATAGCTGTTTCCTTTTTTTAGGAAGCTGAAAATAATATTTTATAACAGAACTAGGCAACTTTTTGAAGGTCAGAGAAGAATTTTGAGGGGGCAAGCATCTTGAAGACATGTTGCTCATGTAAAATGAGTGAAAGCACAAAAGAATTTCATATTTTTGCCAGACTGCAAGTTTTGTTTATTTCAGCGAGGGTGAAATAAATTCTTGTTCTTACCTTCAATTAACTCTGTCTGTTATATATTACAAATGTATAAGTGCATTCAAGAAATTGGCTTCAGTGAGAAAACACAGCATACATCAGTGCAAAACTTTTAATATTGAAACAAGACTTCATAATACTATAGCCAATGGTGGTTGACCTTTGTGAGAGTATTGTGATGCAAACCTATGACTTCTGCATGGACCCAAATGATAATCAGAAATCTCTTTACAGATTTCTACAGATTATAAATCAAAACTCACAATTAATTTTATTAACTTAGCATACAACCACGTATCAATAATGCATTAGTACCATTAGAGAAATACAGAAATAGAAGGAGTACAGAGATGTACACATATATTCTCTGGTGTTTCGGGAGATGTTTCTGCATGAGATGCTAAAACAAGTAAAGCCCGAGGCCATTCTCTGTTAATTCTTCATCAAAACATCAGTTCAGCACCAGATGATATAAATGCAACTTACTATGATTTGCACCCCATGAAAATAAAAGAAGGAAACTTACAGACAAGTTTGTGCAACAATGGTTTTTCCACCACAATTGCCCCACTCTTTTCTAATCTGCTCGGATCACAGCATGGTTGGTTTTGCTGGGAACCATTAAAAAGGGAAAAAGGCAAACCATTCTGGTAATCCTGCTAAGGAAACTACATAGCTACAATCATTAGGAGTTGAGCTAAACTAAGGAGGGAACTATACTTACTTTTATAAAAGACTGGAAACACTTTATGATTATTTTTTTTTTGCTGAAAATGAATAAACACGAACTAGTGATTTCAGTATTCATTGATTAAAACGGTTTGTATAAGGGAAGAAGGAAACCATGATATTTAATTCAGAAGGGGAGAGAGAAATGTCAATTATTATGTTTATAATTGCCCAAAAGAAAACCAGAAGTGCTCCTTTTGAATTCTTTCTTTTTCTTTTGTTATCTTTTACTTTTTTTCACTCTTTTATACCTTTCCTACTATTTCTTTTTATGTTGCTGTAGTTTCTTAAACTGTTCTTCTAATAAAAAAAAAACCCTTTTTAAAAAAGGAGCTGAGCTGAACTCAAGGGCATCTCTCATTCAAATGAACATGCAGTTGCATCTAACATACCTACATAAATTAGACCTAACCATTCCTGGATCTGTATGTTTACATTAGACTTTTCCATCCATATATTGTGAGCCCATTCAAAATGTGAGCCAGGTTTCCTATATTACTCTGAATAAAAAATAGTCCTGCTTTCTTAAAGTAACACAACAGTAATACTTAGCAGATTTTAATATTCAAAGTGCCCTGTAAATCTTATCCTGCTCTCCTGCTATTTCATCTAAAACAACTATTTTATTTATTTTATTTTAAATAACAGCAAGGCATAGGCTCAGCGTTCATTCTATCCTTGCACTTTTGATTTCCTAATGTTTTAGACTTTTCAGTTGAGAATTTGGCTGATAAAATTGCTATTGCTTTTGATATAGCTTTACTATTATATGTGCTTTGGTTTTATTTCTTGTAGTCAATATGGTGGGACATCCTATATAACATATACTGTATAAGTATAATTAATAATAAAATAATAATCATAATGGCTTTAAAAAACCTGATTTACATTACATAAAATAGATCATCATGTGCTGCGGTGCCTTATGAGAAAACACAAATGCTGGGCTCTGCCTCACCAACCTACTCCATTCTTTCAGTAAGTTTAAAATAACAAAGCAATATCACAACTAGATAACTAACAGTAACCAAGAAAATTACGTGGGTCACGTCAATGAAAAACCAGGATCCACAAACACCGGCTGGCAGTCAAATGCCACAATCCCAAATCCTTAATCTCTATCCACACCGACACCAAATGGCACCAGTTCGATTGGAGTAACATAAAAATCATCGGCCATGCTACTACCCACCACACTCATGACTTCATTGAAGTCTGGCACTCCACAAGCAATTCCATCAAGAGACACATCGACCTACAACCAGCCTATGAACCCCCTCAGAATCAACCACACGGCCAACCAAAGACAGCACCGACCCTCAATCAACCCTCCCACCAGCAGTTCACCTCCCAATGACCCTGGCCTGATGTAACCTCCCCATCACAAGACCCATCACAAGACTCACTGATGACTCACACTCACCGATCACATGACTCATCACAAGATCCTCACTCAATACACGCACACCTGAAGCCCTTATAAACAGAAGAACACTAACACTGACATCCCCTAAACTCTGCTGAAGATGCTACTTAGCCTGGTAATGAAATGTTCAGAAACCAACCCACAAGCTCGGAGAACGAACTTTCACCCTCACAACTCTAGTGGCCCAACCAGAGCCCTGACTTGAACCCTATTGAACATCTCTGGAGGGACCTGAGAATGGCTGTCCACTGACAGTTGCCATCCAATCTGACTGAGTTTGAGAGGATTTGCAAGGAAGAATGGCAGAAAATCCCTCAATCCAGGTGTGCAAAGCTTGTCATGCCATACCCAAAAAGACTTGAGGCTGTAATTCCTGCCAAAGGTGCTTCAACGAAGTACTGAATGAAGGGTCTAAATACTTATGCTAATGTGATATTTCAGTTTTACCTTTTAATAAATTTGCAGACATTTCAAAAATTCTGTTTTCACTTTGTCATTATGGGGTATTGAGTATAGATTAATGAGAAAAAAGTGAATTTCAACAGTTGTAGAATCAGGCTGCAGCATAACAACATTGACAAAAGTGAAGAGGGTCTGAATATTCTCTGAATGCACTGTATATACCGCTCCATAGTGCTTTACAGCACTCTCTGAGTGGTTTACAAAATCAGCATATTGCCCCCAACAATCTGGCTCCTCATTTTACTGACTTCAGAAGGATGGAAGACTGAGTCAAGATTGAACTCTTGGCTATGGGCAGAGTTAGCCTGCAGTACTACATTCTAACAATTGCATCATCAAATGCACAACAAGCTACCTTAGGAGGGTGTTCTTTGAAAAGTAACATAAATATGTTTACAATAAAATATATATTTGAAAGCTTAGCTGGAAGGAAGTGCATAATTTTCACTCACCACTTCCATATTATTACTGAAGAGCTTGCAACAGTTTTACTCCTTCTACAAACACATCTATCTATGGGTGCCAGTCAAAAAGCAGAGAAGGAACAAAGTTAAAAATTATTTCAAATAAAATAGATGGTAAATAGAAGACTGACTTACTTAGAGATGATATAGTGCAGGTTTATTAGCAATTCATTTTAATAATATGTATCAGTGAAAGCAACCAATAAATTAATAAGAAATAAGACACACACATAATAAAGCAATTATTTCTCTAAAAAACAAATACACAGGTAAATAGAACAAATGAAATATATTTTATTACGTAAGGAAAAAGGAAAACATACCTGTTTGTCATTGGTCCTATAAAAGGGTTAGTAAGGAATTGGACAGTTGCTTTGGAAGCAAAAAGCAAACCAACTTCTACATTTTCATTCACCAATTCTTTGTCTTTCTTTGGACAGTCTGATGGAGTTGTCGTAGTTATATTGATCACCGTTTGCTCTGTCTGAGCATGATAATCATCTTCTGGCCTTGCTCTTTCAGAATTATTTCCAGTAACTATAGTTGAATTGTCATAATAAGAAAAGATGCTGTGCAATCTGTTCGGGTTGACCGAAGGAGTCTCTGGTCTAATAGTTTGGACATCCGTTATATTTTTGGGGTGTCTAATGCTATACAAATAACTTGGTATTATTGGCACTGAAAATGAAAAGAGAACAATTGTCACATAAAGGCATATACACATGTCATTATTAAACATAACAAAAATAAGCACAAGGCTGCATCTTTTCTTTCATAAAAATCATGAATGAAAAAAATAGCTAGTTTTCAGAACTTTTCATCATGGAGAAATTATTGTGTTTGGTTTTATCAAAATAATTTTATGTCAACAGAGAAGCTAGGAAAAGCAGTTAAATTTGATCAAATTTTGTACTCTCTGATACCTGTGTCCAGGCTTTTCATTTTTCTTCATATTTAATCTTATAAGTGAATTGTTTTATCATTTCAATTTAATTTAATTCCTAACACCTTCTAATATTTGCATGATATTTGAAAATGCATTTCATATTTGTATTGTTATACAGCATTATTATTATTTTAATAAAGCACAAAAACCAGCTGTATCATAATCAAGGCAATTTAGTTTATAAGATAGTTCTAAAAAATTTGAAAACATAGCTATTTGACTAGTTTGTTTCCATTTATACAAGAATACTGATGAAGAAAGAAAAACCCACAAGTTCATTCATAAAATGATTAGAATTCAAGTAGCCGCTCACTCTTTTCTATATTGGATGAAAAAATGTGATAAGATTTATAAATAGTAGTAGTAGTAGTAGTAGTAGTAGTAGTAGTAGTAGTAGTAGTAGTAGTAGTAGTAGTAGTAAAGTTGGAAGGGACCTTGGAGGTCATCTAGTCCAACCCCCTGTTCAGCCAGGAAACCCTATACCATTTCGGACAAATGGCTGTCCAGTCTCTTCTTAAAATATTCAATCCAACATCAAATTTCAACAAAAAGATTAATAGAATTGAGGAAAAATATATTCAAGTCTTCCCCAATTTCCTCAGAATTCTGCAAAAGTATTCCCCATATGGTTGAAATAGGGAGTTGAATTTAAAAATGCAAAAACATCTAAAAACTTGATATTAAACATTATGTGTAAGCTGATTTTTGCTTGCCCCAGGCATTAATATAACTATGATTTTAATAAAATGCTTCCAATCTTTTAAAAGCTAAAGATTAAAATCATATGCATGTTATGCCCTTATTCATTAATATGTCCTTTATTCACAGCAATTGTTTCCAGCCCAAGGTATAAACATCAAATAAACATCCTAATCAGAACAAACACAATAAACATCAAACATAGAAGCAAAAAGGTTACAATGACAAATCAGCCTCTATAAAGTTCATCTGGAAACAAAATACTAGGCATATAAAAATAACAATAGCCTGGTATGTAAATGAATTCAATATTGATACCAATTACGGTAGTTGTCCAGGAAACACCACAGAAAAAGGACAAGTTCCCCTCTTCATAACGGAGTTCAAGGACCTACTATTGTATCTGTTATACTTTTAGTTATTTCAGTAAAAGAAGCTTCTTTTTCTTTTTGTAAAACTGCTAAATAAAATATAAATAAGGAAATAAATAGCAATGATATTTTTAGTCTTGACTTTCGTAACTGGAACACAATGTAACAATTAAATACAATTGATTGCATTTGACATTTCTTCAAGAATTTTGAAAGTAAAATTATTCTTGTATTCATTCTATAAAATAATCTACTTGATCCCTGAAGAACAAGAATCAAAAATATTTATTTAGGGTTGGATTTAGACTGCTAATCTTCATTAACCTGAAAAGATTTTAGATTAACTAGTATTCCACATTAATTTCAGTTAATGTGCATTTCTGGTTTTATTAATAACTCAGTAATTAGCTTCCTATTTTTGTCAGAAACTTCTAAGATTTCAAGTAGCTCTGGAAAAGATTCAGATCTAATATTCTGAATAGTTGTTGCAATTAACAGAGACAATATTAAGGTAGATAGTCTCTCCTTCACACATTCTTTACAAGTATACATAACAGGTGTTTTCCAAGAAAAGAAATTTGATACAGTTTAATAAATTACATACAGGTCCTGTATAAATCCTGTTCAATTGCAAATCAACATACTTCAGATGAGATAGTAATTATTTTAGGAAATTAAGGAAACAGAAAGAAAATGAGTAAATATGGCAATCTGTATATGGTTGAAATTCCTAACAGCATCCTAATTATATAAATGTGTGAGAAATAAAATGAGGACTTTTAAAATAAGAGGAGTTAGGAAAAATTATTTGGCAGGGGATATTAATAACAAAATTATCAATCATTTAAATGAATCATGTTTTGCAAATGTCTGGATTTAATTACTGTATAAACAATCCTATTTATTCAGGAAACCTTTGAGTTGAGATAAGTGAATGGCCTTCAGCAAGTACGTAACTGGAAAACATTTCCGTGCTTCAAAAACTAAAAGATAATTTTGACATCAATGTAACATCAAACACATAAAAACGCTAAGATGTCAGAGCATCACCAATTCCTGTTAAAGGAAACCTAGTGGATAGGAAAGCCATAAATGGCTATTATTTATATAGCTGTTCAAATAACCACACTTGCTGGTAGGAAAAAAAACTGCAGAAAAAGGCTTATTCCACTAGGAAAAGCAAGTGAAAGTAGAATGGATGGGAACACTTGATAAGAAAAATAAGGAGGGAGTGATGATGCTAACTCGCAAAACTTAAATTATTTGGAAAATCTTTTGTCAAAGCATGACAAGGGAAAATTGCAATTTACTTCTGCATAAGAGCAGGAGAAACAGGAACAAGAAGACTACTTATTCCATTTTATGGATCTCAAATTTAATTTTACAAACTACACTGCAAAAACAACATCTAGTGAAGATTTACTTTATATCAGAACAAATTTAAATTGCCATTATAAAGTCCAATTTTAACAAGTGGTTATGAAATATGTTATGAATATGTTATGAAAATATTTCTATGTATTTCCTAAATAAACATGTAAACCATTTGACAACTACAAACTATTTCATAAGTGCATAGCTTTTCCCCATATGTCTCCTCAGAAGTCAGCTTCATTTAAATCAATGGACATATTTCCTGGTACATTGGTACAGGTTTGCTAAATTAAACTATGTTACTTTATATTGAACCAAACAATAACAATGCAGAAACAGCCATCTTCATTATGGGAATGGAGTTGGGGGAACAAAAACAAGAATTTTTCATGCTTATGCATAATTCAACAGACTTCAGAGATAATTGACAAACTACATTTAGGATATTAATCAACCCGAAGAGTCTGTTGAACTATAAGCATTTGGGGGATATTAAAATCTGATCAGCCCCTGGTGAATAACATTTGTTATTATATTGGAGTCTATAGTTGGAATTCTATGTTGTTTTTAATTTTGTCTTGATAATTGCATAGAAACTCTAGTACAGAAACAGAAATAAAACAGTGAAACTTATGGAAAGACAAAAAACAAGTACAGAGTTCCAAATGATGTTTGGGTTCTTTTAAACCTGGAAATCCAAACTAGTTAGAGCAAACATAATTATACACTATGTATGAATCCACCCAATTCATTCGACAGAGAGAAGATAAGTAATGACATGTAAAAGTTTAAAACGGTGGTTTCATTTTAATGTACGATGCATTTTCATGACAAAGTATATACAAAACCATGATTTGCATTATGAAAATGCTTAATTATTAACACAACTTGATATTTGTTTAAGTTTCTATACACTGCAGATTTCAAAATTATTCAATTGTACTCATTCTGATTTAACTACATGTTCGAATTGTCAAATCTGGGACATCAAATGGAGGACATTTCTGTGATAAAGATTTTTGTTTGTTTGTTTTTGTTAATTCCGTGAATGATTTTTCATCTTCATCATTCTTTTATTGAAGAAATGCCCCCTGTGCAATGGTATGTGAGAATGACCTTGAGAGTTGGGGCAAAAAAATGCTGCCCAGAGAATGGTCAGGTAACAAAAGGCATCGTCTACAGCTGCATAATAATGGGAGGAGAAAGAGGCTCGGAGGGACAATCGCTTGTTTCTCAGGATGAAAAGGAGAGGGTGGGAGATTTGTACTTTCAGACTTGCAAGAATTTGTTAATGTAACCTTGCAATAAAATAGAATTAGCTCCTCTGGTTGTGGTTTCCTATCTGGTTTACCTGAAAAGTTCACCACCACTGAATAAAAACGGAGGTTTTGTGTTACCTGAGGACAAATCTTGCTTCAAACTCTTGTATGGCTTATAGCAGGGGTAGGCAACCTTGACTCTTTTATGACTCGCGGACTTCAACTCCCAGAATTCCTGAGCCAGCCATGCTGGCTCAGGAATTCTGGGAGTTGCAGTCCACGAGTCATAAAAGAGCCAAGGTTGCCCACCCCTGGCTTATAACAATAAAAGAAGATACCAAATTTACGATTTTCCTATAGAATGAGTAGGTGTGAAGCCAATCCTTTATAGTAGTCCTTTTAGAATAAAGTATTTCTTCCTTTGATAAGAACGCAATGTTTAATTCTCTGATCAATGTTCATATATACAAACCAACATGCAAGCTAATTCAATTTCTTGCTGTTTCCGTAATGACTAATTGTTGTGACATGGAAAACCTAAACCCTAATCAAATAAGAGCCAAAGTCTCTTTCATCAGACATGACATGCCAACTTTTTATCTTTCCTGCCATTTTGTTTTACAAAAACCACAAAGGAAGGATGTAGCATACACAGATACGCACACAGGCACATGTACACATACACATGCACAGGCATACACATTTCATGCAGAAATTTAAGGCTATCCAGAAGCAAAGCAGTTACAATATTTATAGTATCAGGAACTTTTTACGTACCCACTACAGTCAGCAGCATGTTGTCCAAGAGCAGAGCAATGAAGACAATCAACAAGATTAATTTCCGGGACTGCCGACTCTCTCGGAGCCAATTCAGCACACTGAATTCATGCCAAGCCATGGTTTAGTTCCCTCAAATTATGGCTTATAAGGAAAACATAAAAAACAATATTTTAATGTAATCTAGAATTTTAAACTTTTCTCTCTTTTTGCTTTCATGGCACTCTTTTTAAGGAAGAACATGATTCCATAATTTGCCACCTCCACTATAGCTACATTTGTTTCTCTTCATTTTCATGGGTGTTGTTGCTGCTCCTGCTTGACTATTTCCTTATATTATCTAGCTAAGCAAGTATTTTTCTCTTATTAAGAATAAAACCATAAATGACTAACATTTCTGTCAATATTTCAACGCCAAGTTATTATACAGAAGTTATTTGCCTTTTGTTAGAGTCGGCTACCCACATGTAAACATAGCCTGTGTAAAATTTCATTAACAGTGATTTATGGAGAAGAAAAATAATCTAAAGATAAAACCAGATAGACCAGTCCATTAACATATAAAAAGATATAAAGTTGTTCATTGAACCAAGAGAAATACTTGAAACCAGATCAGAAAATCTCTCTTCGCAGGTCTGTACTGTATTTCAATGCTGAAAACAGGTGTCAAGGATGAACCCCAATATACATCTCTACATTGTTTCTGCCATTCCTTCCCAACTGTGCCCCAAAGCACACACATCCACAGTGCTCTGTCTCCAGATTAGTCCCTTGTTCCTGGATTGACAAATTCCATAAATTCCAAAGTTCTGTAATGTTAAATACAGAGAGAGAGAGAGAGAGAGAGAGAGAGAGAGAGAGAGAGAGAGAGAGAGAGAGAGATTCTTTTCTCTATGAAGATTCTAGAAGTGCCACAATTTTTTATGGCATCAGCCTTGATGGAGTATTATCCCCTTCTTGAGATGCACTGGATGGAACAGGAAGGGCCATCCCTGGGTCCATCTCCAGGTATTTCTCTATGCAGGTGATGAAATCTTGTCCACAAAAATTAAGCCGCCAGCTTGCAAATTGCTATTAAGAGACCTCATTGGTTTGGCTGCAGTCAAAAACCGATGAAGTTTGGGAGGGAGGGGAGAATTGAAGGATAGTAACCAAAGTGAATGGGATAAGTGGTGGGAACTTCGGTACTTTTTAATGCTTCGTCCGGCTCCGAAAATCCGTCTTTGTAGCGGTCTCCCCCCCACCATTCTCTCCCCGCCTCACTCGTCCGGGGCGCTCCAACATCACTCTTCGCCTATCCTCGTTTCCACCAGTTGCCTCCCCACTCATCCATCCATCCACCCACCCTGTCGCCCTTTGCCACTACTTCTCTTCCCGCCCCGGCCGCTCTTTTGACCCACCGCTTCCCTCTGCCCAGCCGGCTCCCCGCCCCTCGCTCCAAAGCGCGCCCGCGAGGTTCTCTTCACTCACCCGCACTCCTGGATTCCCGCGCCCCTCGCCCCGTCTCTCCTTCGCCGCGCGCAAAAGCCTCCGCGCGCCCTTCCCAGACGAGCAGGCTCCCCAGACGCAGCCCTGAGCTTCGCCTCGCTCGCTGCCGGAGCGCCAACGCCGCGCCAAAGAGCCCCGCTGCCTCGGAGCAGCGCCGCTTAGCAAGCTCCTCCTTGACGTCACGCCAGATTCTTATCTCTCCCCACGACTCCCTTCGATATTGCTCGCGGATGGACGCCAGCCCGGCAACCAAAGCGTTGCCTGGTTCCCCCAGCCGCCGCCCCCCAAAATTATATGTACTGCTCCCTGCTTGGGGGGGGGGCGCCTTGTTTCCTCCTCCTCCTCCTCCTCCTCCTCCTCCTTGCCCAGTTTCAAAAGTAAGTGCGTCCCTCATGCCTGGAACCAAGGAGGAAGTTGCCTTGTGGAAAACCGCTGCAGAGCCTGAGGCACTTTTTGCAAACGTCTGGCTTAGAAGCCCGAGAAGAAATAGCCCTCGCTGGCAGTGCAGATGGCTGCTCCGCCACGCTCCTCGTTGCAGCTGCTGCGCGAGCGGTAAATACTAGGCAGACCCTGTGCCAAGAGCTCATTAAGCCAGCTGGCTTCACTGGCGTCTCCATCTTCGGACGCAGTGAACAGGAGGCTGATCTGCTTTGTCTAATGTTAAAAGCAATACTTGCCTTTGGGGCTTTCCTCACTTGCGGTTTTCATCAGCACCAGATTGCCCTAGCTAGCAAGAGACCCTTTTGGCCACAGGCGCAGGCTTTTGCCTTGTTCCTGGCAGAGAATTTAATTCATTTATACCTTTCTCCTTGCTCTCCAGGGTAGCTGACACATCCTTTTAAAGAAAAACAGGTCCGGCTGCGTCAAGAAAGGAAGGTGAGGGGTTGCAAAGTGCAACCAGAAGTGGGTCTTGGCTGAGCAAGGAAGTGTGCCTAGGCTACTAGTCAGCAAGCTCTACCATCCGTGGGATTGACCAGAAATTGACCAATCACTGGTCTGAAAGTACTGGTAGCCAACTTATGAGAAGGCATCTGATGAACAAGACAGCCTGGGCGCTGGAGAGTTCTGAACAGAGAGTTCTGGTGTCATTTTTGGGAATCTATGTGATTTCTTCTCCCAGATTAGATGTCACAGTTCCAAGTCCTCCTACCACAGCTGGGATCACTTTGACCTTTACTTTCCATGTTTTGTCTAGTTCCTCCTTCGGGCCCTGGAACTTCTCCAGCTTCTCATACTCCTTTCTGATGTTGCTATCACTGGGCATTGCAACATCTATCACCACTGCTGCCTTGTATTCCGTGTCTGCTACCAAGATGTCTGGTTGAATTGCTAGTACCTAGTTGTATGTCTGGTTCTGGAAGTCCCACCACATCTTAGTCCTCTGATTCTCCATGATTTTCTGTGGAATCTCCCATTTGGCCCATATATTGTGTGGATGTTCCTGTACGCAATGCCAACTATTTGGTTGAGTCATTCAGTGTATGCTGTTCCTGCCTGCATCTCCATCCTGGTACTATGTGTTGGACTATCTCTGAGGTCTCTGCACAGCCTGCACCTTGGGTCCTGTCTAATTATCAAAACCATAAATCACAAGTTCATTTTTTTCTGTTGTACTCAGTCTGTAAGTGGCTTCTACTCAACAAAAATCATAGATACTGTCTTTTCTCATAACAAACCAAGTCAGTTTAGCCATCTCAGCAAGTTTCATCATCTTCATCAACCACCTCCACTGTGAGGAATGCCAGTCTTTCCATTTTTATGCATACAATAATCTTGCTGCAGTTATCATGTACAAAAACAAAGTTTCATGACATTTTTGCATTTGTTCGTCCATCAATTCCCCCCTCCAAACCCCTTTGGTTGAAACTGTATATTAATCTTTAAAATCTTTTAAGTCAGTGTGTGTAGTTGAATCCAAATTTTTCTATGTTTTTACATACTAAACATAATAAAATTTCCTTTCTTGTTCATATTTCCAACATAAATTTGAAGTGCCTTTATGCATTCTAGACAATTTCTCATCTGTAAAATGCTTCTTGTGCTGAGAGATTTGCATTAAAGTATTTTCATAAGAGAAACCTATTAGTGTCTCCATAAGTCTTTTATAAAACAATACTTTATCCTCATTTGGGGCATACATTTCCGATACTAAAGTCTTACATCCATGCAGCTTAATTTCCATGCCCCCCTCAAAAAAAAAGTCTGCTATGCTTATCAGTCAATATAAATTTTGGTTTTAGTTGGGGCTTTATATATAAAGCAAGTCTCTTTCTTTTTTGAGCGAAAAACCCAAAACACCCAAAATTTTATAATCAATTTTGTCCTGTTTTCTAATATGAGTTTTTTGTCAGCAAATTATATCTAGTTTTAATTTTTTGCAAAACCTTTTTCTCTTTTGATGAATATTTGTTTCATTTATATTACACATTAAGCATTTGTAATCCATAATTAAGCCAATTTTTTTTAGAAAAATTGATACTTGTGGCATCTAGTTCAGTATCATCCCTTTCAGGTTCCTGTCAAGCTTGTTGAAGCTTTTGTGTAGTTTCCCCTTACAGCTCTATTTGAATCTTCCCCAATTCATCTTTAAATTTTCTACAAATCCCCTTGCCTTCTGGGTAGAATTCAGTTGAAACTCCTACTGTTTAAAAGTAAAACAAATCACACCTTCCAATGTGTCCCATTGAAATTGAATCTTTTTCTGTTTCAATCTCTCAGTCAAAAAAGAATATTTTCTTCTTTTATGCAAGATGCTAATAGGAATTTCTTTGCATCTGCATTATCCGTCTTCAGTCTTATATTAAAATGCGCTGCAAAAAGTTGTTGCTTTGTGTTCTTTCTGACAAACATCCTTGGGACATTTTTTATTCTTGCAAATCTTGAATTTATTCTATATACATTATCAATTTCTGCCTCTGTATCTTCGACAACCCAATCTAAAAGTTTTAATAACCTTTTCTCTAATATTTTCAGCAGAAACTTCTGAAGTTGCTCTAAATCTCAAAAAAAATTACTTCTCTCTCGATTCCAATAGAACCAGATTACAAAAGTAAATAGGTTTACAAGCACACAGATATCACTCTGTTGCATTTTTTTTAAACAACCAGCCTGGAAAAGGAAGTTGTGAGAATTCAGTGACTACACGCTAGTAGTATTGTCTGTGGACAATCTACATGAACAACCATTTCTCCAATTTTTTAAAAAAAGTTCTTCTGATTAGTTCTGAGAACTAGCTGTTTCTAAAATTATCAGAGCAAAGGGAACAATCTTGACATATTGCTCCACTATCTATCTCCATACATTTCTCTGTTATCAATTTATAGCATATTCATAACATCACCCAGGTACCCCTGCGCCTTACTCTCATAAAGGCTGCTTTCACACAATGGCTCTAGAACAATGTTTCTAGAACAACCTTGGCCACTTTAAGGTGCATGGTCTTCAATTCCCAGAATACTCCAGCCAGCACATGCTGATTGGGAAATTCTGGGAGCTGATGTCTACACATTTTAAAGTTACTGAGGTAAGAAACATTCTGTACACGGTATTATAGATCCTACTGTTCTGATTTGTTCTGATAATGAATGCCAGAACTTTAAAATAGAAGGAGGCTGTTTCAGTAATTGTGACATC